TGACAAGATCTATTCAGTAACTAGTCAGTACATTAGTACCAGTACCAAATTTGTTATATGGAGTCTTAAATAAAGAAATTTAACAGCCATGTACTTTTTTCCTAGTATACACAACATTGAAGATGGAAGTTCTTAAAATTATTTTAAATTCTTTTCATATGAATTCTAAAGTTAAGTAATTTTAGAAGATTCACGGACTATATACCTATTGTGTTTGATTTGTACAGTACTGTCATATTTACTGTTTAAAAGGGTCATACTCTGTGTTTGAAGAGGAGGATAATATAACGCATGATCTTGTGGAAGCTGACTTTGATATTAATGACTGGACTGCAATGAACGACATGTTCTCTGACGACTATTTTTATTATGGTGACTGGAAGGAAGCAGGTATGTTAGATATGTTAATAATTGAAACCAATGCTAGACTGCTGCAATATTACTAAAATTTTGCATGTCTTATATCCACCTCCAGATCCTTTGACTCCAGTTAACCTGACAGTGGACTCCGTGTTCAACAGCTCATACTCCTGCAACCTTACTGTGAGCTGTAGTACAAATTACTTTGACATCATCAGCATTTTTAAATGTGATAGCAAAACCTGCTATCAAGAGGGAGGAGAGCAAACAGAGGGAAGGTGGTGGCCCACTGCTTTTCTTCATGTCTACCTGTCAGATGGATCCATCATATGTAACCATAGCAATACAGTAAATTGGACCAAGGACATGATAGAGATTGATCGTTTTTGTCCTCAAAATGCTGGTAAGTCAGATAAACATATAAACAGTTTTCTGATAAAATTTCCCAGCTTGGAAACTGACTGTAAGCCTAAAAACATTTGTATAATATGGAAACATGCGATACATCATTGATCTGCATGTGTGAAAAACAAACTAAAGAACCAGTAATTTATTTTAAAATATCATTATAACTGACTAGTCAGTGAATGGTAACTTGCTATTTTTGATTCAACTTTAATGTGTTAGATATATGGTTTTAATATATGGTTTATTACAGACTGTAAAACACATATAATGACAATTACATTTTGAATCAAATGGTCTCCACATCTAGTGAGAGGTATTACTGGTTTTATCCTTTCCCAATGTGCTGTAAAGTCAAAGTCTGCTTTTGCTTTGTGTTTCAGGTTCTGAGAGTTTCTCTGACGGTGTCTCCTTCTGTATGGTGAAGACAGTCGTGTTCTCTGTTGGTCTGATCATCATGTTCTTTGCTGTCATCAGTGTTCACCTCATAGAGAAACTTCAGACGCAAAACTAAACAAGTAGTTCTCTGTGAA